GTGGCTAATGAAGAACTCATATTAGGCATAGAAGTGATATCCCCTTTTCTTATTTTTCACTTGTGCTTGTGTAATTATTAGTGTTTTCTTCGATCCATGGTGTCATTTAGCAATAATTTTTAAGCCAATTGGCTATTTTCACTAGAGTTAGTTTAATCAAAACTAGTTATTATAACTTGAAAATTCACCTGAATACAAATCACAGTACACTGAATGCAAATGAATTCAGCATCACTTGACCATTCCCTGTTGTGGCTTCTCCTCTTCCCATAGCATGCCTTTCATGCATGACCATCATCTACTACTTATGGACATAGTGAGAGTGCCAATATCATTCCATATATTATTAGTAAAGCTTAATTTACTTCTTATATTTAGATAAGAATTCTATATAAACATAAAGATTCTAATATTTTCTTCCTACACCCAAATGGACGTACATACCCCACTTTGTAAGCTACTGCTCTAATCTGATAATCTTGCTTCTGCTCACGGGCCCACACTTAATTGAGGTACAATACAGTTGATTACAGTTATACTTACTAACTTATAACCAACCTGCCCCCCAATATTAGACCCATGTAACTTTCATTGGCGTCCCATGATGAAGTTTCAGATGTTCTCAAACATCTCATTTCATTCACAAAAATCTTTTATTTTTCTCTCACAGAGGGCTAGTGTGATAGGCTGCAATGCTGGCACCCATTCTTCACCCCTTTCAATATCAACATGTTTTTTCATTAACTTCGTCATGCCCTCCCACTGAGAGTGAGGTGACCTGCTAAAGTATTTGTCACTCAACTCAGTTATGTGACTTTCTTTAGCCAATGGGTTGTTAACAGACATCACACAAGCAATGGCTTGAAATGGGCTTGTGCATTGGGGGTTCTTCTTTTGTACTTCTGCCATCATCATGAGAAATGTAAGCGCAGGGTAGACCAGTGGTCCCTGGAGTAGGATGAGAGACACTTGGAGCAGAGCTGAGTTGCCCCAGTGTCTCTACACAATAACAGCTCAGGTCAGCCAATGGCCGCCTAACCCACAGATGCATGAACAAGAACAGCTGAGATCAACTGAGCCCAGGTGAGATCAGCTGACCTTCAGTCTTATGAGCTAATAATAAATGGTTGCTATTTTAAACTACTGCATTTTAGGTGTCTTTTAACACGGCAATAGCTAAATGGTATAAGTTAGTCTCTAGATTTTACTGGTTAAACTCTGATTTCCCTTAATGGCTTTTACAAAATCAGGAGTGGCAAAGAGTACCTTATACTTTACTTTTTCCCACTTGTATGCTCTGTTCACTCCTCAACCCATTGCATTTTGGTTTCTGAACTCTTTTTTTCCACTAAGCGTTCAAGATCTTTCACCACTATTTGACACTGTTAATCTCTATATACTTTTTAAAATTTCTTTTCTCTTAGTTTGATACTTTTCTCTCCCTCTACTCATTGTGTATGTGTGCATGTATCTGTGTTCTTTTATGATTCCTCTTCCATAATTTTCTAGAGTTCTTATTTATTTTAATCAGTTAATCATGAAACATCTAAATAAGTTATCCCATCTATCCTCATCATTTTGTCACTGCTAAAAACAATATAGCCTGGGGACATATCCAATATATTAGTAATCACATTAAATGCAAATGGACTGAATTGTCTTACCATTAAAAGATGGAAATGGTCAGGTTCAACAAAAATTTTTCTTAAGCTATTTTAAGTACATTGAAAATTATTGCTATCTTCAGAGCATAATCTCTTATCATAAAGCAGTAAAATTAAACATCAGTGACAAAAATATAAGTAAAAGAAACCGATATATTTGGAATCATAAAAACATACTTCACAATATCTCCCACATAAAGAAAAAAAAAAGCCGTAATAGGAAGTATAAAATGTCTTCGACTGAAATATAAACAGAAACAGATCCCTGCCTATATAAGCACTAGATACATGAAAGAAATGCCATTGCTGAGCTGTGGGGAAGGATAAGCCAGTCAATAAATGGTACCAGAAAGTTGTTTTCCATTTGAAAAAAAATTTGGATCTGTGTCTCATATGATACACAGTAATTCCAGGACCTAAATGTTAAAAGCAGAACCTTGACATGTTTAAGAGAAACATACAGGGGTATATTTATGATCTTTTATATACCTTTGTGATCTTTATTATAATTCTTAGTGAGTTCTGTATTTTTCTAAAATATTTGTATATAGAAAATATGAAGAATTTCTATAACTCAATAAGAAAAGGACAACCTAAAAGGAAACTGAGTAAATGACATGAGCAAACAATCCATAAAAAAGTAGAGCATTTAATAAACATATGAAAATGTGTTAAATTTTACTAGTTAATAGAAAAAGCCAAATGGCAGCACTGTGAACCATTTCACGCCAACCATAATGGTTAAAATGAAATATTCTGTCTATACCAAGTTGTAGAGAACCTAGTGGGGATATAAATGTATACATCTCTTAGGATTTCAACTTGACAATATCTTGTTATTTTTGAAGATTTGACAGTATCTTGTTATTTATTGCAATGTATACACCTCTTACAATTTCATTTTGACAATATCTTGTTATTGATTGCACATATAATAAATTTTGTATCCCCACTTGTCCATTTACTCTAGAGCAGTGATGGATATACCATGATCCACGGGCAAAATCCTGTTGACCGCCTTTCCTTGTAAACACAGATTTATTGCAGTATAGCCACTCTGACTCATTGAAATGTTATCTGTGTCAGACTACAATAGAAGAGCTGAGTAGTTGTGATACTGACCGTATGGCCAGCAAAGCCTAGAACACTTACTAACTGGCCCCTGATGGAAATAGTTTGCCGACCTCTGGTCTAAAGTAACTCTTACACCTTAAAGCATTGTTTGATAATGTTCATAACAGTATTGCTTACAATAGTGACGAAGGAAATAGAAAAAATATTAAAGAACATGGAAAAAGGAGGAATACTGTAAAACATTCTTACAAGGTAATGCTAGGTAGCAATGAAAATGAACCAAAGTACTAGATATATTGCTATGAATAAATCTCAACAATGTAACTAAAAAAAATCTGTCAGAAAAGTATACACAGTATGATCTCATTTATAGAAATGTTAAAAATGTGACACAGAACACGTACATTTATATAGTAAATACATAAGTCCATGTATGGGAATGATAAACACCAAGTTCAAGATGATTATTTCCTCATAGAGTAGGGGAATGTGATTGAGGAGGGATACACAAGGGAGAGAATGCTTCAATAATATTTGTGATTCTTGCTGGTGATGGTTACAAAGTGTTTGTAGTATTCTTTACACTCTCTTATGTCTCTGAAGACTAAGTAAAATAATGCACAATGAAATATTTGCTCCTATAGCAAGAGCTTTTGAAAACAGATAAAACATCTCATAATTTTATAGAAATGGAAAAATTGAATTTGAAGTTTTACAGAAAGTTGTAAAATATATTCAGTGTGCCTGAACAAGCAAATGTCCAATGTGTTCACATCAGGCTTGGATTTGGGAGAACCACAGTTGGAAGAAACATTTGCATAAAAATTTGTCAGATAGCAAAAACTCATCTCTTAATCCAGCTTCTTTTTAAAAATTGAGTTACACTTATATAGAATTGAACTTAAAAACAATGACTAAACCACAGAGAGTGAGGGTGGATTAGACGATGATATTTTCTTCTAAGGGTTAGGAGCCCAGAGCCACTCTTTACTTCCTGTCCATATGTCATTACCTGTGGCCATTTCTTGTTATCTTCATCCATTCAACTTTTGAGCGATCCCTGGGAATCTTTTACTTTCATTTACTTGAGTAAGGTTTGTATAAATGATTTGTTATTGTCATAAGTATGTGGCCTTTTTAATGTCCTTTTTTAAACACATAATTTTAGTTGAGTGAAATTGCCAGTTGCTAAGTTGTTTATTTTCAAACATGTGATGGTTATGGCTTTATGCACAAAGGACAGTTTCTGAATTTCCAATCTCAGGTGCATAAATGAACATTTTAGTTATTTATCATGGAAATGTCTGCACAAACATACACTGACCAAAATTTTTAATACTGAAAAGTTGTCAGTATCGATCATAATTGTGAATTGTATATCTCATCTAAAATGTATACATCCTCTTATCCTAAGAAAGACAGAGAGAAAATGAAAAAAGAGGGGAGGTGGGGAACGAGAAAAGAGAGAGAGAGAGGGTGAGAGACAGAGAGATTGAATAAACCAACTTTTAACGTATTGGAGGATGATAATAGGGGAATTGATCACTAGCTGGTCTGTATGAATATTTAAAAGTACATTTTAACCTGAGGGTGTTTGTTTGCAAAATATTCATATTTTAAGTATTCTAATACCTTTTCAAAGTATTTTATTACAATTTCATTAAATAAACTTTATTGAAATCATCTTCCCCAATACATTCTTGTTAACAGTATGACATCTCACCATTTTTTTAGGATTAAGAAAGCAATAAGATTTTTTTTTATAGTTTCTTTGGCAACAGGAGATGTCATATAGATCCCACAGTGTGTGTATTTAATAGTTGTTTCTTTTCCTTTCTTCTTTTTTTTCTACTGAGAATCAGGCTGCCTGCTTGCCTCCTTACTCATTCTTGAGATGAATGATTTGGGACAATCCACCCAGACCCGGCCAAAGCATGCCCCCTTTCCGAGTGGTTCTAAACTATACAATGTAGTAAAGCAGTTTGCCTAAGACCTTGTTCAACTGAAAGACACCAGAGAAAGTAAATTTATTATTTTCTTTTCATAATAATATGTAGCTAATTGTGCAAATACACATGCTTTATCCCATTGTAAGTGGCAACATTTATTGATAAGATAAAGGAATGATCTTTCAAAATTCACTTCTCAAAATAGCTTTCTCTCTTTTTAAACTATTTATATTATTACTTTTGTTGAAATTTTATAGTGTCTTTGTATTTAAAACATTTACTATTTTCAAAATAATTCTATTTTGTATTTCAGGAATATACAATAGATGTTTTCTTTCGACAAAAATGGAAAGATGAACGGTTAAAATTTAAAGGTCCTATGAACATCCTTCGACTTAACAATTTAATGGCCAGCAAAATCTGGACACCAGATACCTTCTTCCACAACGGGAAAAAATCAGTAGCACATAATATGACAATGCCAAACAAGCTTCTTCGAATCCAGGATGATGGGACTCTGCTATACACAATGAGGTATGTGTTCAGGTTTGATATGTTGCCATTAAATACTGAGGAATCTGTGTATTAACCAACCAGCCAACTTAGCTGTCAAGTATTAGCAAGTTGAACATTTTCATAACAGATTATTGAGGTAACCAGAATATACTTTATAAATGCTTTGATATTTAAAAAATAAAGGTTATGAGTTTGACACTCATCTTAGAGTGTTAAGGCTTAAAAATTGCCTTAGCTGTTAAGAATTGATTTTTTTTTGGCAGTTTACTTTTCATACTATATTTTAGTTACATACAACTTTAATAGTATGATTTAAATTTTTCTTTATACAAGCACATAATTTTATTTTTAATATCTCATGAAATATCCCATCAAATTTTTAAGTGATTTTTAAGCAAGTTTCACTTAATTTAATATTTTAATCCTTCTTATGAAGGGAGAAAAATACTTTTATAACCTCAGTGATATCATGTGACATCAAGTTCAGATGATTCAATCTTAAAAAATTATCGAAAGAAATATACAGTTGTTGACTCTAATCACTGTTCCATTTGAACTCTTTTCATGAATTACTCTTTTTAAAATAAGTTACTTATATTATGTAACAAAGAAAACAATCACAAATCTAATAAAATGGTGTATAATCTAAAAGGTAAATGTTTGATAAAGACTTTAAAACATAGATAACTTTCATCAGCATTGTATATAGACAGATGTGTATTCGAAGCATTTGATGTATTATTTCATATGAAATGTTAAGTGTTGGATTTCAGTTGTGAAAGTTATTTAAGAAGGGACAATAATACAGTCTTGATCTTTAAAGAAGAAAACTCTTAAGTTCTCATTGCTAAATGACCATTGTCTAAAATGGAAGTTAGCTATTCTTTCTGCTTCTCTCTCTGAATCTTGCAATATTGATGCCGTATCCCCCCTGATTTTACACGCTAATTAGTCCTGTGAATTAAGACAATGATTGGAAATTTGGGGTTTGGAAAAATATTGTGTAGGGTTCTACTTAAATACTCTCTTGGAAGTATATAAGCTATAATTAAATTGTTGGTTACATTTGTTTTGCTCATTGTCAGAGATTCTTCTGTAAGTTCACTTTACTCCCTATTTTATATAATTTACCTTTGTCTGAAATGGAATAGTAGATAATTTTCTTTAAAACAAATTTGCTATGATTACTCTTTAATGTGATCACGTATATACAAAAAAATATTTCTTTAACATTCATAACCTGTGTCTGTAATTTGAATAGTCTAGTCTCAACAAGATATTTATAGGAGATATATCTACATATGTAACTATGTCTATATTTATATATATGTGTCTATATACAGTATATGATATTCATTTACAATTTACATAATTTTGAAGGGTGCTACTCTGAGGCATTATTGAATTCCTATATCAATTTTGCTATATGGTTATTGATGGAATGTTGGGAGAAAATAGCATTCTTTTTATGACAGAGGTTTGTTTTTCATTTTTTTCTTCAAGATTTCAAATGTTAATGCTGAAGTTAATGGGAAAATAACCTTCAAAAATGTGTACATAACTTCTTCTTAACTAACCATATAGTACAAAATGCTTAAAGTATATTTTTAAATAAATATTGTTACTTGAGCTCAGATTGTGTAGGTGCAAATGTCTTCTGAAGGATCGCCTAAATGGGAAAGAACAAAAGCATATTTAAATGTGAATTAGCCTAATCAGATGCCCTAATGAGGGTCCTACCTCATCATTAATTCTGTTGACCACAATAAGCAGTGATTTATCTTGACTTGCAAATTTACGTAAACAAAGAGTGGAATTTTGACTTTTAGGCTTACAGTTCAAGCTGAGTGTCCAATGCACTTGGAGGATTTTCCAATGGATGCCCACTCATGTCCTCTGAAATTTGGCAGCTGTAAGTATGGGGATGAAGGTACATGTTTTGGGTCAATAAAATCAGGGATAGGCAGCAGCACAACTTAATTGTATACTTTCTTCTCATATGATGGGATGCTTAATACTTGCCCAATAAGATGCAGAAATAAAAAACATACTGATTTCTCTCAAGTAATCAATTGGCTAGCCCTATTGTACTCTCAAATATCATATCTTAATCATTGTGTTTAATTGTCACTTGCTTTACTGCTAATAAAGAACACCCTGTGTTTTTATCGATGTGAAAAAGTAGACTGGGAGCTCCTTGAAGGTCAGGACTATGTCATTTACCTTCTTTTTCAAGTGCTAACCCATTAAAAATGCTAAATAAATGGCTTTTTTTTCAACTAAGAATGAAATGTTAAGGATAGATTCTATTTGTTAAAGTAGTGATCAACCTGTTGCAAATGGCAACAGAGAATAGGTAAAAAAAAAAAGCTGGATCTCTAATTACCTTTCTACTCTCTAATAATGGAAGGAAAGTTTCTTTCTAAAATAAATTTGAAGGAGATGATATAACTCGATTGCTACATGTGGGCACTTTCTGTGTACATAAAATATTTCAGAAAAGGCTCTGTGCGTTTGGCTGTTCTTTAGGTCACTGAGGTTGTATCTTATATGTCAAGCAGAAGCATTAGCTCTCCCAGAATAATTGAAAAGAGGGAAGGTCAAATCATCTCCCTAGGCCCACAAGGCATTCAGGGCAGGTTCAGGATAAATTCATGGACACAGCTAAGCAGCTTCTCTCTTTTGTGAGTGTGTTCCATAGCCTGACCTTTTCAGAAATCTTTGCTCTTTCTGGCACCTCCATCTTTGTCCATTCTGGGCAGTTTTGACTTTTCAGTCTCTTGCATAGAAATGCAGTTCTCTCATCTGATACAAATATGTATGACTGAATAATATGCCTTCTCCCCACAGACTGTATCAAGTGAAAGAAAAGAGAAGAATGGTGGCTAATATGAATGCAAAACCCTCTAATTTTATTGATGGCCATAGTTTTGTGGAATGAGTTCAATCTTGTTTGCTCTGTTCAACATTACGAAAGGTGTCAGCTCTCTATTTTCTTTGAGAATCTCCCCTTTGTTTAACAATAAACACTTTTTTCTTTTCACGGAAACTATCACTTCAATACTGGCACTTTTTCGAAGATTATTTAAGATAGTCAATCTTGTTATACAAAGTAAACATGATGCTGGAAAAACTGCAGCAGACGCAGCACAGAAAAACTCATTTGCATTGCATAAATGGCATTAAATAGAACACTGAAAAGCCTTCATACCAAAGAAAGGATTTATTCAAGATGCAGTTATGGTCTAAGAAGGAAAGGCATTTTTCAGTGGAGAAGTTAGTGCCATTAGGATACCAAATATAAATGACGTATGATGTCTCAATTCTGAATTTGCAATAAATACACCTGAAAATATTTTAAATGAAATTTTAAAATCCCTTAGAGTGCATCTTCAGAGTAGTGTAATATTGTACATTTGAGAATATGGTTTTCTGTATCTAGAAGTGTTGCAGGCAACACACAGAGCTTACTGTTAGGCATTTTCTGTTGAAGTAATTATTTTTAGTTTTCTCCATATTTATTTTCTGACACATTGAGTAAAAAAGTTGTATATTCTTTTATTTATCCTTGCCAATAGTATGTACTTGAGACATAGTGTTAATAGTATGGACACGAGCATGGTGTATAGACTAACAAGCCAACCTAAAACTTAAAATGCTGGCATAACAAATTTTAGCGGAAGCAGACATGGCTTTTTCTTCTAGTCATTTACTCCTCACTTATTTAAAAAACTCCCTTGTGTCCCCACAAATGATAGAATTTCTGGAACTTTTTATCATTGTTCTCAAATAAAAGAAGCATCTTTTCTACTAATTTAAATTTTGAATTCAGTTTCGTTTTGCGTTATTCCCGTTGCCTCACATCTTTATATAATTCCTTGCTATTTAATTTGATTTAAAACTTCCTGAATGGAAATCTAAGAGTATTCTGGACATTATCCCAAAAGAAATTATAAATTTTCTTTTTGGATAAAAATGATTTGGGGATTGCTTTGGTTATCAAATATTAAGAATTGGTCAGTATGCATTTGATGTTTAATGCAGATTAGGACTCAAAATGGATTACTGCATAAAATTAAATAAAATTATTTAATGGAAACCTAATCTAGATATGGAATTTATAAAGAAATTTGTCTGTCTCTCCTTTTATACTTCACTGAAAAATCACAATGGTCTCCAAGTTTATATGTGTGTTGGTAGGCCAGGAAATGCCTCTAATCTGCATTACATAACTTTCTGCTCTCTCTTCTCTCATCAGACCCCCAATCTAAAAAACATTCCTGCCTAAAAAATGAAAGTAAATAATTGCTTTTTTATAAAAGACATGGGCAGGATCAGTCATTTTCTTTAACATATTCTTAGGCTTCTATCCAGATTTCCATCATTCATAACGGTAAATAACAGAATTAAAATATTATGAGTTTATTGATTAATCTAGCAAGAATGAAGTGAGAACATTTTCCTCGTGACAGGCATTGTGCCAGGTGCAAGACGTATAGATATGAGTAAGATAGAGTCCCTCCCATTAGTCTCTTACTAGTTTCTTTAAAATGTCACCTATGTTTGTAGAGTTTCATCTTCTCTTATTTATGTTTAAAGGTAAACGTCAAAATTCAAAAGTAGAATTATTATAATTCCTTAAAATAAAACCTCATAATTTATTAAGATCCACAACTGCTGAGTACTCTGAGGCCTTCTAATATGAACTGGAGCATGTGATGTCTTTTTGGTTTATTAAATTCCGTGTCATTTGAAATTTTATTGAAGAGAAGGCCACTTGATGATCCGCAAATGCATTGCTAGTTATACACATTACTAATGTTACTTATTTATACGTAACAGCAGAATCATCAATGATTAATTAATTGAAATTAATTAATAAAAATTTAGACCTTAGGGTAACTGAATTCATTCATATGCAAGCTGTAGGAATAGATCTGCTATTAAAACAAATACATATATATATATACATATAATGATATGAAGTATGTATAATGATATACATACATACATCCTTTTTTAGAACGCTATTTCAAAAATTGTTTCACATAATATAATTATTTGTGGATGTAGGTGTATACATGTATTTCACTGATATTAACATTTACTAGTAACATTCTGAAAACCAGACAACGCTGTAGTATGTCATTAAAAGATCACACAGTGAATAAGACACAGCATTCACTTTATTGTAACTAATGCTTAAGTGGGAATGGATTTGTGATCACAGACTTTAGATCAAGGTAAGTACCAGAACCACCCCGGAACAATGGTATTAACCTAGAAAACCTATTAGATGGCAGGTAAATGAGCTTTTCCAGTGTCCTGGAGAGCTAGAGGCAGAGATATTGCTGGTTCTTTCTCTCCCTCAACTGAAAATGTGACTGTGATGCTGAGTTTTGCTCAAGGACCAGGAGTAACTAATATTTCTAAACATTCCCTTGAGCAAAAGTGCATAGAAGTTCTTTGAAAGGTCAGTAGTGCAGCTGGAATTGTCTGGTTATTCAACTGTGGAGAGACTCTGCCCGCATGGAGAGGTCAGCTGTTCCCCCTACAGGCACAAGGGAAATGCCAGGGCCAGAGAAGTACTGAGACAAGATAGGCTGCCTGCCTTCCAGCGTTAGAGTCATCTCACTTCTGCTTAGTTCTGTATCCTTAACCAAATAAATCAGAAAATTATACTTGGTCTGTATGTGATTTGTCTCCTCCTGCCAATCCATAGCTTAATTAGGATGTTATGCAAGTATAGTTCAGTGAGATTTGTGTGCATTAATTAATTTTAAAATGAACAGGTTTTAAAAAGTGTTTTCAACTTGCGAAACTATAGCATTCTGAATTATTTTGCATATTCTGCAAAATTCTCATTCTTCTAATGAAATGCATTGTACTATGATAGTTAAGTCACTTAATTCTTTTTTGTTGTTGTTGCGGTACGCGGGCCTCTCACTGCTGTGGCCTCTCCCTTTGCGGAGCACAGGCTCCGGATGCGCAGGCTCCGTGGCCATGGCTCACGGGCCCAGCCGCTCCGCGGCATGTGGGATCTTCCCGGACCGGGGCACGAACCCCTGTCCCCTGCATCGGCAGGCGGACTCTCAACCACTGCGCCACCAGGGAAGCCCAAGTCACTTAATTCTTAACTAGGTGAACGTTTTGAAGAAAAACCTACAAAACTAACTACAAAAATAATACCTAAAATAAACACGTCATCATTATTCTCACATGGACATAAGTTTTTCATGAGTGATTATTATTTCTAAATTAACTAGTTAAATGGGCCTTGGGCATTCATAACCTGTTTACTGCAATGCCGTCATCTACTACCTTGCGAATATGGAGGATATTTTAACCATCTCAGGGCCCAGTGATTTTCACAGGCTCTAAAGAGAAATTTGCTCTTCATCTCTCAAAGTGGTTACGGTGAAAATACTCTTGTGGTCATGGTTGTCTCTCTTGGTCTGCTTCACACCCTTCATACTGAAGTTGTAAATTTCAAAGGCACTTTTTTGCCCTAAAAAATATCAATTTTTATAGTAAACAATAATTCTACGAAATATGCGACCTTTGATGCTGGATGTTATTGATAGTTCTTACTAAAGCGCTTAAAAAGATTTTTTTCCTGATTTCCTACAGATGCGTATACAACCTCGGAGGTCACTTACATTTGGACATACAATGCATCTGATTCTGTACAAGTTGCTCCTGATGGCTCTAGGTTAAATCAGTATGATCTGCTGGGCCAATCAATTGGGAAGGAGACAATTAAATCCAGTACAGGTTAGTAAAATGAGTCTAAAGAAAAGCTAGTTCCTGAGAAGATTAATGGGTGAATGTCATTGGAAATGTGTCAGTTTGCTTAAAACCTTTTGTGCCCTAAGAAGGAGCAGCAGACTGTGCTTGGGAGCTTTTTAGAAATTCAGAATCTCAGGCCTGACTCCTTACTAAGTCAGAATCTGCATTTTAACAAGATTTCAAGGAGATACCAAGGTGTGCATTAAAATTTAAAAAACAGTAGTCTAACTTATGCTCCCAATTCAAAACATGTGTGTCTTTTGAGACAAGCCAATTTTACCTTCACACAGTGTTACAATTGCCCTCACTTTCTAATTCTTTTCCCCCTATTCTGGATAAGCTATGACTATTCAACTCTTGATTATGGATAATTACTATTGGTCTGTGTGGGAAAGCTAAAGCCCTTTTGAAGAAAAAGCAGCTGTATGAACGAATGATCTCACATCTGGCAGATAAAAACCCAGAGAGCAGAAAGGAAGGTAGCTATGAGTATCAGATAGAACTGACTCCACTATATTAGAGCAGACATTAACACATAAATTCAGAATTGGTGACAAGATTAAAAGTAGAAAATCTGGGCCAGGAGATCAGTCTTGGAGATGTGGCCAGAGATCAATACTTTAAAGAGCCGGAGAGGACTGGACTGGAAACAGTCAAAACAGAGGCTTGAGGTTGGGACCAAAGGGGATGAGAACCTGAGCAAGTAAGATAATCCATGGTCAGAGCATTTATGAATCCTCTATCCCTTGGTCAGTAAGCATGACCTAGAGAGAAAAACAAATTCCACACGATACACATGCCATTCAAATTTTTTGGTCATATGAAAATTTTCTTTTAAATACTCTTGCTATGCTAAGTGGGCATTTTAATGTTATATACTTTCCATGTCATATATGGGGCAAATTCTTTCCTTTTTTAAATCAGGGACTGTTCTTTGCCTAATCCCTTCCATTTCCAAAATGTTCAAACTATTGACTATTACAGTTTCTTAAGCTTCTTAAATTTTTCTTCTAGGTGAATATACCGTAATGACAGCTCATTTCCACTTGAAAAGAAAAATTGGGTATTTTGTGATTCAGACATATCTGCCTTGCATCATGACTGTCATTCTCTCCCAAGTGTCATTCTGGCTTAATAGAGAATCTGTGCCTGCAAGAACTGTGTTTGGTGAGTGAATAACTACATACTTTGCTGTGCAGCACATTTTGTTTCATGGCTTTCTTTCAAAAGCATTATCTCTCTTGATCTTCACCCCAGTAGTTTCTGGTATGCAGAGCAGGGAGTATTCATTTTGCCTTATAGATGAGGAAACTGAGGCTCAGAGAGGTACAATACAGAGTCAGTGTCACACTCTTAAAAAGGAATATAAGAAGTTCTCAAATCTTCTGAATTACATTGTCTTCTTTCTGTTAAATCATTTTGCTTATCAACGTTTCTTTCCATGTTAGTATAAGGAGAATATTCTTAGAGGTTTTAATGTAAAGTATAACAGTACCATATTTCTAAGCTATGTTTATTTTATTTTATTTTATTTTATTTCATTTCATTTCATTTTTTTGTTTGGTTTTTAGCTGAACAAAAATGACCTTAGTACTTTAAGTGAGAGAGAATAAGGGAGGAAGGGAAAGAGAGGGAGAAAAAGACTCCCTCATTCGCTACCAGTAGTGTGTTTAATAACAAAGTTAATTTTCTTGATTTAAACCATGCAGGGGAATTTGGTTACTGCTTTTTGGATATATGAACTAGGATGAGTACATTTTGTGACAAAGTAGATCACCTTTGTGTATTTGGTCCACTCATTCATCTAGGAAAGCTTTACTGAGAATCTACTAAGTTGGATATGGCATCAGGCCCTAAAGGTGCAAAAGCATATAAAATACAGTCCTTGCATTCAACTATCTTTGTACAGTGGAGGGCATCAGAATAAGCAGGAAAGATAATGGCAACACAAGGTGAAATCATTATAAAAGAGGCACATATAAACCATTAAAAAAGACAGGAGCATGGATCCTCCCTAAAAGGACTGATTAAGTAGCTGAGTCAACATTCGAGCTAATTCTTGAAGGATAAGTAGGAGTTTCCCAGACAGATGATATGGGACAAGAATCCTAGCCAAAAAAGGATAAAGTGTGCAGTGACATTGAAGGATGAAAGAACATAGTGTATTCAGTGACAGTGAGCTGTTTCAGTGTCAGTTGATATACATACAGATAGAAGTATAGCTTGAGGCTTAATGGGAAGTCCTTGTAGGCCATGCTAAGATAGTGTACCTTTATCTTATAGACTATAGTGTTTTGAGACCATAGACATGTGTAAGCTCTTAGAACAATGCCTGGCATTTAATATGTGCTATATAACTCTTGGTTATTCTTATTATCAATGGAGAAAACTCAATTTTATTCTCAATACTAGCAAAGAATGATTCAAAAAGAAATTTAAAAAATAATTTCATTTATAATGGTATCCAAGATAATAAAATACCTAGAAACAAATTTGACCACATAGGTGAAAGACTTGTCCACTAAAATCTATAAAACTTTGTTGAAAGAAATTAAAGAAGACCTAATTAAATGGAAAGACATCTCATGTTTTTTGAGAGGAAGACAATACTGCTAAGATAGAATTATCCCCAAAGCAATCTACAGATTGAATTCAATACCTGTAAAAAATCCAGTGGCTTTTTATTTTTTTGCAGAAATTCCAATCCTCAAATTCATATGAAATTGCAAGGGGCTCCAAATAGCCAAAACAATATTGAAAAAGAAAAAAAAAAATTCGCTGGACTCATACTTCCCAGCTTCAAAACCTAGTACAAAACTACATTATTCAAAACAGTGTGGTAGTGGCATAAGAATGGACATATAGACCAATGGAATAAAATTGAGAGTCCACAAACAAACAAACAACTATGGCCAATGGATTTTCAACAAGGGTGCCAAGACCATTCTGTGGGGAAATAGTAGTCTCTTCACCAAATGGTGCTGGGACAGCTCTATGACCACCATGTGCAAAGGAATGAAGCTGGACCCCTATCTCACTCCAGATACCACAGTTAACTCAAATGGATACAAAGCATTAATGTAAAATCTAGAAGTATAAAACTATTAGAAGAAAATATAGGATAAATCTTTATGATTTTGGATCTAGCCATGTATTCTTAGGTTTGACATCAAAAGCATGAGTAACAAGGAAAAAATAGATAAATTGGATTTCACTAAAATGAAAACTTTTGTATCTCAAATAACATTATCAATAATGTCAAAAGACAATTTACGCATGGGAGAATATATTTGCAAATTATATATCTGATAAGGGTTTAATATCCTGAATAAATAAAGAACTCTTAAAACTCAGACAAAAAGACCAAAAACCTGACTTTAAAAAATGGGCAAAGAACTTGAATGGACTTTTTTCTAAAGAAAATATACAAATAGCAACAAGCACAAGAAATGATGTATATCATTGTACATTAAGGAAACACAAATCAAAACCACAATAAAGTACATTTTATGAATACTAGGATGGCCAAAATAATTAACAAAACAAAAGGACATAAATATTGGTGAGAATGTGGAGAAATAGAAACATTCATATTGCTGGGGGAATATAAAATGGTACAGCTTCTGTGGACACCAGTTCAGCAGTTCCTCAAAAGGTTAAACATAGAATTACCATATCATCCAACAATTCCATTTCTAGGTATTACCTAAGACTAATGAAAACACATGTTTACATGGAAACTTGTACACAGGTATTTATGGCAGCATCATTTCTAATAGTCAAAAGATGGAAACAACCCAAATATCCTTCTGTGGATGAATGGATAACCAAAATGTAGTATATACTTACAGTAGAATATTATTCATCTATAGAAAGGATTAAATACTGATAACATGCTACAACATGTATGAATCTCGAAAACGTCATTCTAAGTAAAAGAGGGCAGATGAAAAGGGTCACATATTGTATGATTCCTTTCATATGAATTATCCAGAATAGGCAAATCCAGAGAGACAGGCAGCAGTTTAGTGGTTGCCAGTAGATGGATGCAGGGGAAAATGGGAAGTGATTTTGTAGTAAGAACAGGGTGTTTTAGGGTGATAAAAATGTTTTGAAACTAGAGAGAGATGATGGTTGCAGAACACTGTGAATGCATAAATGCCACTGAATTGTACACTTTAAAATAATTCATTGCATATTATGTGAATTTCATCTCCGTAAAATAATTTTTAAGTCACGAGTTTAAAAAAAAAATTGACGAGCACACCAAGGATTTCCCAGGATTTAGGAATCTTCTTAGATATCTATTTCAAAATTTGCAAATTATTGAATCAAAGACGAAAAAAAACTGACATGGCTAAAAATATGACAAAACTTCCTTTCAAATGACTTGAAAAATAAGGTTACATGATTTTCAGAGCACAAATAATACAGAAAATAGAGTTTCAGGGAAAAGTACATAATAATTAATAACAGAAAGGAAATGATTAGGACAGAGTTGATATTCCAGAAAGATCTAAATTTATATATAAATATATAGCATATCAGATAAAATTAAATGATGAAGTATTTGCTTAATAAAGGTTGTAAGGAAAACAAAATATTGCATTGAGGTAAATAAAGACAGATTTTATAGCATAAATCATAGAGAGGAATATGTTTTCAAAAAAAACCAATAGAAGACTACCTAAGTATAAGGAGAGATAAATAGATGGATAAATATTTAACAGTGAATCAACAGAATGTGTTAGTATCTAGGCTGCTAGGTTCAACTATAACAAATGTACAAAAGTTTCTAAAGACTGATTATAAAAATAACACATACAAAGTTAAAAATCCAGGCTATACGTGAATGTGTAAATTCATTTGTGTATGAATGATTCACAATACAGGTTTAAGGACCCAAAAGTCATATTGTCATGTAAATATAAACAGTTAGGTGGTAAAGGCATTCTTAGTATTATCTCTACAAGTTATTCTGTGTAACGTTTGTAATAAATATAATTCCATGTGAGTGTATGTGTGTATGTGTGTGAAAGTAAAAGCTAAAAATCCTACATCCCGTGTGGAATGAGATTTGAAACCTGCCCAGCCTCTTTATTCTCCACCCCCATTCTATCTTTCACTGTTTTCTGCCTCCTTAACATCATTCTCTGACCAATGCACAGCAGTTACCTAAGCAAAGTGTCTACCCTCTCCAAACTTCTCTCCCTGAATCCACAGTCAGGTCTACAAGCTGATTACCATTAAATCAGGTCTACAATATATCATTAAATCATCAGCCCTCCTCCTGCCTCAGAGGCTTTCTGTGGTGGGTAACCCCCCAAGTTAAAACAACAACAACAACAACTATTACAGTTAAGAAATTAATATGCCCTGGGACACAGATGCCAAAATTCTCAGCGTTTGAGGTCTGACTTTATGGGGTCAATAGAATAAGAAAACAGAGCAAATAAGACAGCAGGCAGAGGAGTTGAAATTAGAATGTGCATCCCTTTGATATTAGAAACTTTGTTCCATTGTATTAGGTTTTATCTATTCAGTTTTTTTTTATATTGCATTTATTTTGTGGTTGTAGGGGCAGCTTGGTATTTCAAAGATATATCTTCAAAGGGGCTGCCTACGTATCTTGCAATGATAGATGAGGAAAACCTCCTTTGACTTTCTCTGAGTGCTCACATCCAGTTCATTCAACACCAACAAACACTTACTGAGCACCTACTTACCACATGGTTCTAGATACTTGGGGTATGTCCTTGAACAAAACCAAACACCCTTACGATGAGGTAGTTGTTCTCTGTTGCCAACGGTACAAGAAAGCACTTGGGAAACTTCTAACCTTAAACTTCAGGTTTTGTGCTTTCAAGCCTCCTGTGACTAAACAATATATTTGCAATGTACAAACCTCATTTTGTGTTTGTATAAACATATAGCTTATTTTGTGAAATTGTGGCTTATGGTTTTTTTAGTTGCTTAACATCCTTCAGAACTTCCTATAAATAAGAATAGTGATAACGAGTTTGCCAATTATTGTTTGTATATTTGAAGCCAAATCATTTTTCAAATTTATGAGTAAGTTTATCTATGAATATATTACTACACATTAATATATGAACATATGAGTATATGAATAAAGTTTATATATAAGAAATATGTACTGGTATTTC